GGAGATGGGAAATAACACAAAGGGTGAATTTTCTTTGAGCAACGAGTAAACAATTCATGAAGAGTCTCGCTGAGTTTTTTTTTCTCCTGGTTCCTTCTTTAGTTGACCTTCAAAACACACGCCAATGTAGCCTTGACCTCCTAAAACAGAGCGAAACAAAAGGCTGGAAGCGCAATAGATTGGAGATGGGAAATAACACAAAGTGAATTTTCTTTGAGCAACGAGTAAACAATTCATTAAGAGTCTCGCTGAGTTTTTTTTTTTTCCTGGTTCCTTCTTTAGTTGACCTTCAAAACACATGCCAACGTCGCCTTGACCTCCTAAAACAGAGCGACCCCTCCCACCAAATTGTCCACATGAGGACAAAGCGGCCTTCTGGACCCACTCTCACCCTCTCACAGGGAAGAAAGTGCATCTGCGCCGGTGGTGCGGCGCGAGCCCGACACGCAAAAAGGTGCAGTTCGGGGGGGAGCACCAACACACTGCGGGTTAAGCACCATGACGGACTACAAATGTCGGTCCTACAGTGGATATCAAAAGTCAACACACCCCGGCTCAAATGTGAGGATGCCAAACAAACAGATGACGTGACTCAGAGGCCTTGTGCATTCCTCTACAATGGCTGGTTCACAGCCCTGACCAGGAGGCTTATTTTGAAGGTTTACCCACCGACCGGGTCACCTGTTTTTTTTTTTTTGGGACACGTCACAAGGAAGCAGTTACAGCTTAGACGAAGGCTGAAGTGACAGCCAAAACCATCAACTGGGAAAGAGTTGTTGTTCTCCAATTTAAATACCTTAGCTACACTGTCAACGCCTCCAGCCTACGAGTCAAGTGAGAGCCACCAACACAAGCCTCTTCGCCTCTCTCAGGGGGCGATGTTGAGGAATGTTAATGACGCTATAAGGTTTTATAGGGAAAGATTTAAGTAAATACGAGGATTCTTGTTATCTCTGTCTCAAATATGTAAAGTAGAAGTACTGTTTACATACTTTACACGTGCAATTTATTTGTGAATTTGGGGGCTTTTATGGGGGCCTGGAACACATTAATTTCATTTTGATGCGGAAAGATGATTTGAGACATTTTAAGATGCAAGCATGTTCATGGAATGAAACAAACTCTGACCTCAAAAAAACCCTGTATACTGATTTTAACCCTTCAAGGCGAAATTCAACTTGCATCTCTTATCCTGGGGGCCTTAAGCGTAAGGCGACAGCAGGCAGGAAACTGACCGAATGTCACCTTTCCAACAACTGGTTGCTGCGGCGTACATGAACCTTTACAGATGAGATATTGCCACAACATATGAAGTAGTCCTTTAAAAAAGTTTGAGAACCGCTGCAGTTGTGGCTGTCCCAAAAAGTAAGCACATGTGGAGTGGGGGTTGTTATTTCCGCCAGAAAGTGTCTCCCCCCCACCAAAAAAAGAAAAAAACATACAAGCACACTGATGAACTGTATCTTCCGCACGCACTTCATTGGAGGGTTCTTTCACGTAATTAAAAAGCAGCAGAGGCCAAAGGGATGAAGGCGGAGGGCCGCACTGTAGCAATAAAGCAGTCAAGCTCGCCTCCATCGTGCCTTCGTATTCACCCAGAGATGAACTCGCTCGGCCTCGTATCACAGTCAGGACACTGCATTAAACTTCGATGCAATTTGGAAGAACGGAAACGCACCTCAACGCAGTGGGAGAAGCTTCAGTACGCGGGGGGGACTCGGGGATGAGACGCACTTATGTAACAGAGCACAATTGAGCCACTGAGAACCAGAGCGGGCTAGCGAGCTGCTTTTTGGTCATTTTTAAGTTAAGTGCAGAAATGGCTACTGGTTTGAATCAAGGTTCTAATTTTTGCATATGAGGGTTAACCCTATTTTGTCATTTTTTTTCATGAAATAATGAAAGATGTTTGGAATTCAAACACTATTGCACAAACCCCCCTCCTTCTTTCAGGCAACTTATGACGATACTGAGCAGGTCCGACATATAAAACTGAAGATGACAAATGACAAAATCTGAGGAAAGACACAATTTCTGGACAAACTAATCACTGAATCGTCAAATCAGCGACAAAACTTCTGCAAAACGACATAAATCGAGTTCCCACACTATTTCTCAGTGGCTCAATTAAACTTTTGGTAAAAGTCCAGGTTGCATATTTTGGTCGAGTCCTAATTATCATGGAAGCTCAGTGATTAAGGCCAACAAACGACCTGTACAAAAGAGCGTCCGTCTTGCCGCTTTAAAAATCTAATTTTTGGGGTTCCGCCTCCAAGAAGAGCAGTTTTTTTTTTTAAACATATATAAATTAATAACCCTCTAAACCAGGGGTGGGCAACCTTCTGTGCTCAAGGGCCACATTTAATTTTTAAATTGAAGAGAAGGGCAAGGAGGTTTAAAAAAAAAAAGTAAAAATATATAAAATGGTATTTTTAACTAAACCTGTTTTTCCATGACTGTTTATTTACAATAAATCAATAGAAAAATGATTTAGTCAGATAAATTCATTTTTGTCCAATAATATTTTATGAATCGATTTTACCTAAGAGGGCGTCTAAATGAACGCAACAAATAAAAGTGTTCATTTCAATAAAATAATTCAAGCTCATTTTATTGTATTTGTCATTAATGGAAATGATAATGTATGAAGAGATACATTCATAATCCGACTTAGAAAACTGGCAAAATTGTTCAAAATCAATTTTTAAAAAACTTTTGAATGAGATCGACTAATAAAAAACACAGTGAAGCCCTTTCAAAAAAAAATTTTTTTTTTAAATTCAAATGAACCGAAAGAACAAAGTGGGCCATACGTAGTTTGCCCACCCCTGCACCCGGCGCATGCCAGAAGAGAAAAGCCAAACACTGAAAAAGATTCATTCACCTGTCTCACAGGTCACCTCACGGGAGGAGGGGGGCTGGGTTCCAAGTCACAAAAGCACACAAGTCCTCTTTAAGAGGATGCATTTGGAGTCTCTAATAGGCCACATTATCCGCTTCCACCGCCCATCTCACTGCCTGACCTGACCGCATGCTAGCATACTGTGCAGTGATTGCATTGGTGTGAATGTGCAAGACCATGTTAGACATTGAGCCACTGCTTAAGGAGAAGGGGAAGAAAAAAAACAACAACAACACTTAAAAAACTTCTGACTGGAGAAAGGCTCACAATCATCAATCCATAGCAGTCCTGTTAAAACACTACTGGTCACGTTTGGAGCTGCGCTTGGTTGCAAATCACAGTAAAAGTCAAGTGCCAATCAAGTTCGCGGGTGCAAAGGTTGCAGTTTGGGCACGGTCGTTGATTTGACTGGGGCAAAAAACAAAACCAAAAACAAATGTTTTAGATGTTGGGTGGAAAAACCCAATGAGCAGGATGTTTGTGAGTTTCAAGTCCTAATATTTACACATCTCATGTGGAAAAGTGTCAGGTAGTCAGTCACACAAAAGTCATTCGCATCCTAAATTCGAGGCAACACCGGTCCCTCGCTGCCTTTGTCTAATGCCGACCAGTGATGTCATCAATCGGAGGAGGGTGGGGGTGGCATAGAAGATTGCAATATTACATCATCCAATCATCTATACTTCTTTTTCATTCTATGGCCACTATTAGGTGTACCGAGCTCATTTCCCCCCCCCCCCCTCAAAAAAAAATCGTCCTTGCTCAGCATCACATCGTTGCTCGGCCTGCCCACTCAACAGGAACAGGTTTACATTTTCCTGACCGAACCCGAATGATCAGACCCAACACGGCAGCGAGGAAGAAGGAGAAAGCCACCACCAAGTACCTTGTCTCACAGAACGGCGGCCCTTCGGAGGAAACGTTCGCACAGGTACGACTCACAAAAGTGCATTAATGACCGTCGGCGAAGGACGACGTCGGGGCGATAAAACGAGAAAGCGAGCCCGCCCGGCGTGAAGCTCTCGACTCCCTCAAGCTCGCCAAACTGCCAAGCGACTGCCAGGACAGACAAGAAAACAGGGTCAACTCACAAAGAAACAAAGCCACGAGAAATTCAAGTCATTCTTTTTGTCTTACAAAGCCCACTGTGCGCACATCGAGGATGGAAGGACAACGTTAAGAGTCATTCAAAGTGCTCCCAGACCCTTCCTGGATTTCAATGCCTTGGGGAAAAAAAAAGCTCTCATTTCATGAGTACAGTACTTCAAAGATAGAAACCCAAAACTCGTTCCGGCATGATCGTGGAAAGACAAAGCATGTGTATCATACATTTTAGGATGTCGATAAGGAGACACGCTGGTATGACGGCGGCCAGCTGATTGGAACGCTAGGCGCCTGATTGGAAGCCAGAAACCATCGGTGAACTCCGCAAATCCAAGATACAGAGGCGCTCTGAGATGATTAAGACATTTACCACTCATACCTGTGCATATACACACGCTTTTTTTTTTTTTTATATAAGTGTCTGTGTGTGTATATATCGTTTGTTTTTTTTGTATATGCATGTGCATAGTCGACTGCGTATGTGGTTGAGAAGAGGCGGTACAAGAAAGACGCTGGCACGAGTGTATTTTTCAAACCACGTTGCCTCTCCAAATTCAATCTGTCCGTAATCCAGCGGATAAACCGCAAATGTGTGTGCGTGTGCACGAGTGCGAGGGCCGACTCGAAGCCCTGGCGCGTGCTGCGATTGAGCAGAGCGAAGCCCGACGAGCCGGACTGCGGACGGCAGATCCCGGCGTGCGAGGCGGCCTCCGCAGCGGCCGCCGGCTGGTCTAGGTGAGCTGGTGAGGCGCCTCCAGCATCTCCATGAGGAAGGTGTCGATGGGCGTGTCGCCGATCAGCTTGAAGAAGAACAGGTGCTCCAGGCACTTGAGGCCGATGGAGCGCAGCGCCGGCAGCCGCAGGAGGAGCTTGGCAAACCTGTGGGAGGACGCGTAACGCCGCGGACCAATCAAAGCAGAGGTTGGGACGAAGGCTCAAGTCTTCACTTCTAGCAAGTTACTGTGAAAACTAACCGACAAGAAAAATGTTGTCCAAACTTCTCATGACCGTGGAAAGGTTTTTAATCTTTGTCGCTTTATATCCCAGCTTTCCTTTCAATGGCACATACCTGCCCTGCTGCTCGGGGTACTTCTGCTTGCAGTAAGTCTCCAGAGACGCGTACACCCTTTCTCTCAGCACCTCCACCTCGCTGGGGTTGGAAAGGCCCTTGGCATCTTTGGGCGAGAGAGAACGACGCTTCAGAGGAACCCGCCCAGGCGGTGACTTTTGCTTCTGCGTACCCGGATTGAAGAGGATGATGGCGCGCAGACAGCCCAGCTCAGTCTTGTCCATCTGCATGTCTCTCATCTTGCTCACCAGCTCCGTCAAAACCCTGCCGAGGGAAAGCGGGAGAGTGGCGGACGACGGTCAGAAGAGCAGACTTTCTCGGCGCCGTCCATCAAAGCCAGTCCTCACAAAGCGTTTGGATGGCGCCTAGAAGACAGGACGCTTCTGGAGAAACATCACCGATGCGCGATGAAAAGCGCACTGCATGACAACAGGCTTGCGTTTGATTGGCTCGAAAAACAAATTTGTCGTGCGTAGAAGAAGGGACAATGAGAACGTGGGTTTTTTTTTTTTTTTGGCGCTGCCTTGAACGTGTTCCTTTACAGTGTTAACTCACACTCATTCATGTCGGTGTTCCCCAGATGTCAGTTTACATTGAAAGTACCCTCTCCACACGTCACCAAACAGCAAAAAAAGCGCAGATACGCGATTGGACGATTATCGAATGGGATGGACCGTCACAAAACCAAAATGAAAACACTCGCAGGGAGCTGCTGTGGGCCACAACAATAAATTCTATTGCAATTACACTATTAACCACCCACCTCCCAGAAAAAAAAATGAACTGTGGCTTATTTTGCAGGCTAGGCTCACTGTTGCGGTTGCGAATAGTTGTGTTAGTCGACCCAAATCCGTTCAAGTTGCCTCGCAGACCTCCACAAACTTTTTCCTCGCCGCCCACAGATGCCCGCAACACATCTCTCTCATTACCGGCCTAGCCCGGGACAGATAGCTGGCACGCATGCTAACCTTTGTGCTCGTGTCGTGTACACCAGTCGGCCGGCCGAAAGCGGAAGAGAGGCGCTGCCAGGAATGCGCCACGCAAGTGCTAACATTTCAACGTGGGTGGGTGGGGGGGAATAGGCTTTTCATACCCACTTTGTGCCAAGAAATCCTTCTCAGTGTCTTTTAGTGGTGTTTACTTTGGTCACCCAAAATTTAAAAGGCGATGACAAGAGCTTTTAGCACACAAAACAAAGCACAGCACACATATTGTGATCTGTCTTAGAGCTCGTGAATTTTTCTCAATGAGGACTGCGGAGGAGGGGTTCAAGCAAAGTGTTTGTGTCGTGGCGTAATTACCTGTCAAATATGGCCCCAACCTCAGCATTGTGCGCCCTGTGTATGCAATCACAATGTGTTATTACAGTGTTATTACACAGTGTCATCGCTAATACACTTGTAAGTTATTTCGGGGGCCCTTATTAAGTCGAAGACATGTTTGGAAAAGTTAAGTGGATAAACCATGCACATTTGATTTTCGTGGCTTTTGCCCTCGACCAGAGCTTCTCAAACTGGGCTCCATTGACACCAGGAGGTGGACAAGCCGTAGCTTTGGTGGCATCCGCAAAAAAATTTATTAAATAAACCCCCCCCCCACACACACACACACACACATTTTTTTAAATAAATAAAACATTGATATGTTGAATCATCCCCCAAAAGTAAATAAAAGACTACCTGCATATAGGAACCGTGTAGCGAAAAAATAAATAAGCTGAATGCTTTGGGCCACTCAGTATGATTTATCATCATATAAATCTGACATACCAGCATGTTTTTATTTATTTATTTTTATAAGAACAGGAGGAATCCCATGCTTACCGATTTTTCCCCCCAGAACAAAAGCCTCAATTGTAAGGGAATGAATTTATATTGTGCCATTCCCTTGTTAAAAGGTGAATTTCTTGACTTGAATATCATAATAGTGAGACTTGGTCTTGGAAAATGTAACATGATTCTTCTAGGAGAATGAGTTTTTGTACTGACAAAGTGCAACAAAACATTACGGCTTTCCTTTCCTGCACCCCCCGCCCCATTTTTTTTTCCATTTCTACAGCAGTATACGTGGTTGTTATGTTTAACTTTAGTTAGAGTATGAAGGGGTCCTCAGTAAAATATTTCCCTCGTCGTGTGTCCCTGCATCCCAAAAGTTAAGAACTCCTGCTTTGGACATTAAAGCAGCTCCTTCAAAATAGAATGGATACACACAAGGACAACATTTGCGCTTTTGACAAATGAAAAGCTGACAGACATGTGTCCATTCTTATTGTGTGTAGTCAATGTTTTAGGCACGCATTTGATTAGGGAAAAAAAGGACTGTGTAATTAACAGAGAAGCCACACATTGTGATTGAACAGGCAAATCTGATCTGCACAGTGTATTTTCAGTTGTTAAGGAGGGAGGCCAGGCTTGATGGTGTTAAAAAAGTATTTTGCAAAGTGAGGGAATGGCTGCCTGACAGTTACTGACTATTTTGAGTCACAAGAGTGCCTCATTATTGAGTGGGGGTGCGCAGAAGACATATTAGTCACCAGGCTCCCGGCACAGGGAGAACGGAAGGAAGCGGTGGCAGCCAAAAGAACGCAGCAGGTGCAGCCCCCGGCAGCCTCCTCAACGAGCCGCGTGGCTCTGATATGGGACACCGCTGCGAGGTCTGCAGCGGGAAGGCGCCGGAGACGAATAATGCGCCTGTTGGCTTTTGAGGCGGATGCCAAAACGTCATGATCCACCAGGAAGATACTCTAAGACGGCTCAAATGGAGCCTTGGGGAAAAACTAAAAGAGCAAACCCAGAAAACCGCCGCGGTGAACGTGATGCGGCGGGAAATTTGGGTGGGCCTAACTTTTGTGCTGGAGTATCATTGAACAAGTTGGCCGCATCAGTGCAAGCATTGCAAAAGGTTAGTCTCCAGCCCACCACACTTCCTGGACACCAGTTGCTACTTTCCGCAACTCATTTTGTGGCATGAATGAGCGAGCGCCAAAAGCACCTATAAGTGAGTTTTCAGCGAAGGGCTGAGGAGTGATTCCAATGAGGAAAAAAAAAAAATCAGGTGAACTGAGAACGGGCGCAGGGTTCGCAGTACTGCTCAAGGTTTGTCACCTGATCACGTGTGCGAGTTGGCAGAAAGGTGAACGGCTACCTGTCAAAGATGGCCCCGACACCGGCGCTGTGAGCACTGTTCCGGTGCACGTGGAGGCCGGTGGCCAGTAAGATTCCATCCTTCACTGAGATGGAGCGGTGGGAGAAGGAGGCGATCAGTAGCTCATTCCAACCTGCAGACAGGGATGTTTTACGGTGGATATTAGGGCTCACCGATAAGATGCTTTATGGGGGGTGGGCGGGGGGGGGGGTCATTTTTTAACAAACACGGCCAATAACTTCATCTGTAGCAAGATAAACATGATATTTTTATGAGTTTGACTTTTTGAGTTTCATATTTATTAGTTGTCTTTTTTTGGGTGTGAATTTCTCATGTACAAAAAAAATAATAAATACACCACCTATGGATTGTGTAGCAAAATCATTTTAAAACCAAGCATCAACCGTTATATGACGCTACACCTCTTAATACGGTCGGGAAAATTCGGTAGCTCTTCCAACGGTGATGAAACCCACCTGCACGTAGTAATATAACCTGATCGTCGAGGGGCAGCTCTGAGAAATGCGGGATCCTCTTGGCCCACTCCACCAGGGTGAAGAGCTGCTTGTCCGCTGCCTGGCAAATGTTGGTGACGGGGTCGTTGGGCTGAGGAGGAGCGGGAAGGAACATTTGATGATGCCACACGTGAGGATTAACAGAGCATCCCTTCGCCCGGGCAACTCACAGAGCTTCCTCCCGAGCTTCCGTCGGCCTGAAGCTCCGTCTTCTGCTCCACGGCCATCTCTGCCTCCAAAATCTTCTCCACTGGCATGTCCTCGTTGACCACGCTGGTGGACTCCACCTCGCCCTCGCGCTCCTTGTTCCTCTGGCGCTCTTCTTGAACAGCTGAGGAACAAGAGAACAAACAACAGGATGAGCCACTAGGAATAAATCAAATCCAAAATGATATGGGGGTTGGGCTGTAGAAGAGATGTGCGAAAGAATGAATCATGGTCAAATTTCAGGAGGAAAAGCAGGAAAATAAAAGCGGACCAAGAAGCAGCACTATAGTAATAAAGCACACTAAATAACTCAACCCCACACCCCCATCCAATATATTCAACGATTGCCTGTTCCTTTTGCTCCTTCTGGTGTGTGAGCCTTGGCCACCGGGGGGCAGTACAACACAGTCAGACGGCAACAAACGAAGAAGAGTCTCATGACTAATTGACTCGGTGCACACTAACAATTAGCAATTAGCTCACTTGTAGGCTAAGGTTTTGGTGCCATGCGGTGACATTTTAGGTTTTTAAAAAAGGAACACAAACATATGTCTTGTCTAGAGAAACCAAGACAACAAGTATTATAAAAAAAATGACATTTATTCGAGAAAGAAAAAAAAAAAACATGGAGAGACACCGTTCACAGATCTGTCAGAATTATGTAGGATAGGTTTAAGGAAAACAAAAATAAATAAATAAATAAATAAAACAAAGCAAACTGCGAGGTGAATTTGTGAACAGGCGGGGCATTTCAGCACGTCACAAAATTCAATCTGTGTGTGAAAAAGTGCAGCGCATTATTTGGGGAATTTCAAGAACTGGAACCCAGCCCCCTTGTCCGGGCACGAATACCTGTCGCTGCCCCTCGCCCGCTCAATCCACAGCCACGCTAGAATGCACCCATCCCCACCCCCTGTCCTTACATCTGTCGCTCATCTTAGCCACTGCAGGAGGGACAGGGTGGACAAGAGGAAACAAAAAGGGGAGCAATGGGGGGGGGGGGGGCTTAGTGTTTGCAAAGCTTAGTCAACCCTATGTCCCCCTCCCCTGCCGCTGCTTTATCCCCTGGCAGCCCAGACCCAATCATTTTCAACACACACTCTAGTTTGATAGAGTTTGTGAGTGAACGGGGGCATCTTTCAGGCCTCCGGCTCAGCTCGAATCTGTGAAGCGTTGCTATGGCGAGAGAAAAAAATGCCATCTGAGAATGAATGTGGGACTCAAAATCTCATCCAGTAGAGCAGGTGTCGGGAGCCTATGGCTAGCGAGCCGTATGTGGCTCTTTTGATGATTGCATCTGGCTCGCAGATAAAACAAAATATTCGTGCTTTTTGAATCCATCCATCGATTTTTTACCACTCGTGTCCTATTCAGGGCTGCAGTTGCAGGACCAATTTTAATTGGATGATACTGGCCTACGTAGGCCGTTGCTGTGGAATCAGCCCGCTCGGTCATTAGCTCAAAGCTAATCCAAAACGACTAAGATGGCGGGAGAAAAAAAAAAAAAAAAAAAAAGAGTACGGTACACTTCAGGACAAATTGACCTAAGGATTCCCCTTTGTGGAGAGAACAGGTTCTGTGGTGTGTCTAATTTGCAATGACGTAATACCACCGATGAAACGGTCGAATGTAAAACGGCACTTTGACACGCGCCATGCTACGTTGGCATCAAAGTACCCTGCAGGAGACTCCAGAAAGGAAGCGTGCAAGCTCCCAAGCAGGGTGCAAGCTAGCCAGCAGCAACTCCGCGTACGGACCCGGCAAGATGACTATAATTCCGCCAGCTTTGCTTAACCATCGTGAGGAACGGAAAACCTTCATGTGAATGGTATTATAACAAAATTATTTTAAAGAATACATTCAGAGGGTTATTATATATTGCCATCACGATTTGAGCCTCTCAGTTAAATTACAGCGGTGCCTTGACGTACGAGTTGAATTTGTACGGGACCACGCTCACAAAAACAACTGCAAAGTAAAATCGCAATCACAATATTGAGGAGGAGGCGGGTCACAATGAGGTTATTTTTCAAAATCCTTCAGCCCCTCTCTCTAAATAGCGCCATCACTGCTACTTTGGTTCTTGCGGCTATTGTGTTTGTTCCCCGGCTTACCTTCTCTCTTCATGCCCATGGCCAGGCACTTCTGGTAGCGGCAGTATTGGCAGCGGTTCCTCTGCCTCTTGTCGACCATGCAGTCCTTGTTGTCCCGACAGGTGTAGGTCAGGTCTTTGCGCACCGTCCGCTTGAAGAAGCCTTTGCAGCCCTCGCAGCTGTACACGCCATAGTGCTTTCCTGGCACGAGAACCAAACCAAATGTTCGCCAGTGGAGGAAACCATTTTTTGCTTGTAAAAAGATTAGCCTTATTCATCGCAGTGCTATGAAGAGAAATGTTACTTGTTAATTTGCATTTTGGTACTTAATTTGCATCTTTGCACATTTAGAAGTGCTCTACGGTATATAAAACAACTTTTTTTGTAGCAAATGTCATTTTTAGTATGTGGTGCAAGCCACTTAAAAGTGGTCGGCAGGCCACAAATGGCCTGTGGGCCATCGTCGGGACAACTTGAAACGTTTTTATTGGTTATTTCTCTCTATTGTGTTCATGTCACATCCTGTTCTGGATCTACACGGTATATGTGATGCAAGGAGGACAGAGATGAGGAGTAGTCACCAGAGGATCGGTCGCCACAGATGGAACAAAGACGTTTCTGCGAAAGCATCGGGCCCGGGCTGTGCGCCGAGAGCTTTAGGCCTATCGGAGGTTTGACATCATCTGAGCTGCTCACCGTGTGAAGTCCAGACATGGAAACTGTGGAGTTGATCTGAATGAAGGACAGCAGAAGATAACTCCAAAAACTGGTCTCCAAAATAGAAAGGGGGGGGGGGGCAATGAATTTCTTAAAATGAGTAAACACAGTTAGCTTCAAAAACACCCAATGGAACAAAGACGTTTCTGCGAAAGCATCGGGCCCGGGCTGTGCGCCGAGAGCTTTAGGCCTATCGGAGGTTTGACATCATCTGAGCTGCTCACCGTGTGAAGTCCAGACATGGAAACTGTGGAGTTGATCTGAATGAAGGACAGCAGAAGATAACTCCAAAAACTGGTCTCCAAAATAGAAAGGGGGGGGGGGCAATGAATTTCTTAAAATGAGTAAACACAGTTAGCTTCAAAAACACCCAGTGAAGTCTCAAAATGATACTTCATTTGGAATTTTATATCCCAATTAGTGCAGGGTGGCGACAGGACCTTACTTGCGGACTACTAATGGGACCGTAGCCGACCGACGGTGTCCCTGGCAGGCAGGGGGAGCCCAGCGAGGAGCTGATGACCGAAAAAGGGGAACCGATGCTACTGATGGGGCTGTTGACGCCGGCGCTGGAGACGGGAGGCAGGGAGGTCATGGAGGCCGCCGCCGGCACTATAGGTGGCGAGCGCTGGCCTGACGAAGGGGACGACACCGACGAACTGTCTGGACTCCGTGAATCTGGCGAGAAGCATTTCAGTCATGTAAATGAGTAATTCTCAACCGCTCTTCTACAGCACCTGGGTGTGCCAAAAGCGACAACTCAGGTGTGAAATATCCAATTTCAATTGGTCAGATTTTTTTTTCTGACAAACAAGGTGTTTTTGTTTATGTATGTATGCCAGCAATGTATCTTGGCAGGCCAAACAATTAGACGCTCTTCCACTGGGTGGCAGTAGGTAACGCTAATTTAGTACACAAGGTCCCTATAGATGTATTATTTTTTAAAAACGTTAAAAAAAAGAATACGACTATTCTGAGCTTTGGTGTTTTCATCTGAAAACCAACCAGCTCACAACCACTACGAAGCAGACTTTCACGATGTTAAAAGATTGCTATGATATGCTAAGATGTTAACCCGCATCAACATCACTATCATCAATACAGACATTATTGTAAAAAAACTGTGGTCGGTTCACACGCTAGTTTGACAGGCCTTTGGTGCATCCAGAACAAACATTCTTGGCACTTGAATTTTTAAAAAAATAAACGAAATAAGATTCCGTTCCTCCACCGGGTGCGTGGCACTTGGGCTGTGGCTGCCAGTGCCTTGGTTCTCACCTCGACTGTCTCCCATGATGCTGCTGTCTGCGGCGTGGGGGGCTCCCCGGGAGTCACTGGCGGCCGCACACCGTCGAGCCTCCGCGTCGTCAGCCCGATGTCAAACTCGAGACCGCGGACTGCGGCCCGGGCCGGAGCTGTTTTAGGGAAACCAAAAACGGCTCTGAAATGCCAACACATGCAAAAGGAGGATACATTAGGTGCCGAATGGGAAGCTACAATCTACGAAAATGTACACGTAAAACAGCAAGCAGCGTCTTTCGAACGCCCCTGTGTAGTTGGGGTTCGTGTCCGAGACACTCGATTGTCTGTATTTCCTGAATTTGTTGCTCTATCAAATTAAATTTGCCAAAACAGACAGCTCTCCGGTAGACGTCAACTTGTCTTGAGCAGGGAACCAAAAACACGTTAAAACCACATTGATTGTGGATAAAACTCATTTAGGCGACCCGCTAGGGTTTGTACGGTTTCTTTTGTCTGCTATCAATAATAAACGAACAACAACAAAAACATTTTAGTTCCAGTGTTTAGCTGAAGGTAGCCCCCACATAGCTTCACCGTTAGCTCACACTCGGAACCCCTATACCTTCAAACGGGACAAACCTTTTCTTGCATCAGTGGCCAGAAAACACGAACAACGTGCGCGCGCTGGTGTTTATCGTCATAATTCCCCCCCCCCCCCAAATGCGCATTTAGCTTCCAAAGTTGTCAAAGCAATGGAGACGCTAACCCATGCTAGCTGGGTTAGTTAGCTGCTAACGTGTTTGCGACTTAACTAAGAAGCTAACTCGAAAGCTAAAGTGTTTGCGTCGCAAACATTCGGGAGGTGAATGTCGCAAATTGGGCAAAAACAGATGCGAATTACTGACGTTTAGCGGCGCGGCTTCCTCCCATGAATCGATGTTGCCGACTAGGCCCCGAGTGTCTGTCTGCCCCCCCCCCCTCCCCACTCGACACCTCCAGCGCGGCGGCGCACACTTTGGCCCGCAGACAGCCCACCCTAACCGTGCCAGGATGAAAACATGGTGATGGCGACGCCGAGAGTGCTCGCGCCTCAACTGGACTGCCTGCCGCAGCTTTAACTCAACTCAGGGACGAGCTTAAAGCACCTGTACAGTATCTCAAATCATGTTTTCCACTGGGATGAATGGAAATGCCATTTTTCCGTCTTAAGCCTTCCCTTCAACTCAACTCTCAACTCAACTCAAGTGTATTTCTCGAGCACTTTCAAACAGCCATCGCTGCATGTACATGGAGCAACTACCATATATACAACAATAAAGCAATAACAAGGACGGTAGAAAGCACCAAACGGTAAAACTAAGATCAAGTCTGAGTCATGCTGAGTCAAATGTCAAAGAATACAAGTGAGTTTTGAGGCGGGTTTTAAAGATGGACAGCGAGGGGGCTTGCCGAATGTTCAGTGGGAGGTCATTCCAGAGAGAGGGACCAGCAACGGAAAAGGCACGATCCTCTCTGAGCCTCCGTTTAGTTCTTGGTACTTCTAATAATGTCAGGTCCGCAGACCTGAGGCGCCGGGCAGGTGTGTCGGGGCGGATGTGCTCAGAGAGGTAAGGTGGCGCGAGGTCATTTAGAGATTTGAAAACAAATCCTAGGATCTTAAAAAGAACTCTAAATTCAGCCCTAGCCCAAACAATAGGCCTAATCAAGGCCCAACGATAGGGAATTTAGAAATCAATGGGCCTCTTCACCATAGGGCCGTGACTAACCATCCCCACCCAGTCCTCAAATAGGCCACGCTCAGCCTTTTAGCGCAGAGCAATTTCCCGGAGTCTTCACGGAGACTTCAGATTTTTCTACCGCTGACGAAGCTTCTGTGAGAGAAGCGAAACGTCCTTTTTTGTTTTGTTTTTTTGTTTTTTACCCACAGGTACAGATGACGACTGACGGAACCCTTTCTACGAGAGTCATTTCCCTAATAATTAGTTATTTTCACCGATGCTGATCTCAGGACTTCATTCATTGAAGATTTAACGTTTCCATGTCAATATTTTAGTTCCCCAGCAACAAAAACTCTTTCCTTCGCCTGTGGATTTTTGTCTTGTACAGTATTACAGATATATTTTCTAAACCTTCACCGGAGATGAAACTATGAAATGCATTTTTGTAGTTTTCGTCCCAAATGATGAATCCAGCCAATCCGAGATTAAAATCTGACCTTTGGGCTGACATTGATTGTTGCGCTGTAAACCTGTGGAGGTTTCAGAACTCTTATGAACAGGACACACAAATTATGTTAAATGTCAACATCGAATGAGATCCAATTAAAAGTAATCAGTCAGAACACAAGACCTATCAAAAACGTCATCGTCAAGTTGGTTTTATTGCTAATATGGATGCAAAACACGACACCACATGAATGAAAGAAAAACACATTTCGTCCAGAGGAGCCCGCTTTTATTCACTCAAAACATCATCATTTCGGTGAGTCCACCACCAAAACAAGAAGCAAGCTATTTCGTCAGACAAACGGACGGACGGACAGATGGATAGATAGATAGAAAATAGAAATCTTTGAGTTTAACTTCTAAGAACTCAGTTCATTAAAAGTTCTCCTCAAATTGAATCCCACGTGACATATCGGCGCCTTCTGTTGCAAAAACGCAAACACATATCAAAATGTTTGAGTATCTGAAGATTGTGCTTCATGAAAACAGATTTTTCTCATCTGCTAAGAGAATTTTATTTTATTTATTTATTTATTTTTTTGCTGACCGAGAGATCCAGTATGTGACGCGGAGTGTGTATGCATGTTTGTGTGTGTGAGTGAGTACGTGAGTGTGAGTGCCGCGGGAGGGATTAGCTGCAGTGTGTGTCCACTAGTGATTAGCTTGGTCAGTGGGCCTGTTGTGCATTCACTCCAGCCATTAG